AGGATGGGTCCAAGTACTGAGCCCTGTAGGACTACGCTGGTGACATCTCGCCATTCTGATGTCTCCCCCCTCACCGTTATTCGCTGTTTCCTGTTGCTTAAGTACTCCCTTATCCACTGGAGCATCTTCCCTTTTACTCCTGCCTGTTGCTCCAACTTTTTTAACAGCATTTTATGGGGTACTGTGTCAAAGGCTTTCTGGCAGTCCAGGAAAATGCAGTCGGCCCTCCCTTCTCTTTCCTGCCTAATTTGTGTTGCCTGGTCATAGAATTCTATTAAACCTGTGAGGCACGATTTACCATCTCTGAACCCATGCTGGTGGTGTGTTATAAAGTTATTTCCCTCCAGATGCTCTACGAACCTTTTCCTCACGATCTTCTCCATCACCTTGCATAGTATACAAGTTAGGGAAACTGGCCTGTAGTGCAGTGCCTCTTGCCTGTCACCCTTCTTGTATATTGTGACTACGTTAGCTGTCTTCCAACTTTCTGGTAAGTCTCCTGTTTCCAGTGACCTGTTATACACCATAGAGAGTGGCACACTTAGTGCTTCTGCACCTTCCTTGAGTATCCATGGTGACATTCTGTCAAGCCCAACAGCCTTTGTCACATCCAGCTCCAGCAAACACCTTTTGACCTCATCACTGGTGAGGTCAAATTCCTCCAAGGCTGCTTGGTTTGCCGCCTCCTCATTTAGTGCAGGGGCCTCTCCTTGTTCTATTGTGAAGATCTCCTGGAATATCTTGTTGAGTTCTTCACACTCCTCCTTGTCATTCTCTGTGTATCTGTTCTTCCATTTTTTTCAATTTCATCACTTGTTCCTTCACTGCTGTTTTCCTCCTGATGTGGCTGTGGAGCAGCTTTGGGTGGGTCTTGGCTTTTCTCACTGTCATTTTCATACTGTCTCTCTGCTTCCCTCCTCACTCTGAGGTACTCATTTCTGGCCCTCTGGTATCTCTCCCGGCTCTCTGGTGTTCTGTTATTTCTGTAGTTTCTCCATGTTCTTTTACTCAGTTGCTTCGCTACCTTACATTCCTGGTTGAACCATGGGAGCCGGTCGGCCGAGCGGACAGCACGCTGGACTTGTGATCCTGTGGTCCTGGGTTCGATCCCAGGCGCCGGCGAGAAACAATGGGCAGAGTTTCTTTCACCCTATGTCCCTGTTACCTAGCAGTAAAATAGGTACCTGGGTGTTAGTCAGCTGTCACGGGATGCTTCCTGGGGGTGGAGGCCTGGTCGAGGACCGGGCCGCGGGGACACTAAAAAAGCCCCGAAATCATCTCAAGATAACCTCAAGATGGGTTTTTCTGTTGTTTTTCGTTTTTCTCCTTTTGGACGGGGATAAACCTATCTGCAGCTTCCTGGCACTTCTGGGTGACAAAATCCATCATGACCTGCACATTCTTGTCTCGAAGTTCTGTTTCCCATGGTATTTCCCTGAGGAAGTTCCTCATCTCGTCATATTTTCCTCTTCGGTAATTTAGTCTTTTCCCTCCGATCCCATTCTTGGATAGGTTATCCTTACCTCCACCAAGTATTCAAAAGTCAGTACACTGTGGTCACTCATTCCTATGGGGACTTCAACTTTGACTTCCCTTATTTCTGACTCATTCAGGGTGAATATCAAGTCGAGTCTAGATGGTTCATCATTGCCTCTCACTCTTATGGGTTCCTTGACATGCTGGCATGCTGACATGTAGAGTGATCATGTTGGTGTGGAGTGATCATGCAGGTGTGGAGTGATCATGCAGGTGTGGAGTGATCATGCAGGTGTGGAGTGATCCTGTTAGTGTGGAGTGATCATGCAGGTGTGGAGTGATCCTGCAGGTGTGGAGTGATCCTGCAGGTGTGGAGTGATCATGCAGGTGTGGAGTGATCCTGTTGGTGTGGAGTGATCATGCAGGTGTGGAGTGATCATGCAGGTATGGAGTGATCCTGCAGGTGTAGAGTGATCATGCAGGTGTGGAGTGATCATGCAGGTGTGGAGTGATCCTGTTGGTGAGGAGTGATCATGCAGGTGTGGAGTGATCCTGTTGGTGTGGAGTGATCATATTGGTGTGGAGTGATAATGCAGGTGTGGAGTGATCCTGTTGGTGTGGAGTGATCATGCAGGTGTGGAGTGATCATGCATGTGTGGAGAGATCCTGTTTGTGTGGAGTGATCATGCAGGTGTGGAGTGATCCTGCAGGTGCGGAGTGATCCTGCAGGTGTGGAGTGATCCTGCAAGTGTGGTGTGATCTTTCAGGTGTGGAGGGATCATGCATGTGTGGAGGGATCCTGTTGGTGTGGAGTGATCATGCAGGTGTGGAGTGATCCTGTTGGTGTGGAGTGATCATGCAGGTGTGGAGTGATCCTGTTGGTGTCGAGTGATCAAGCAGGTGAGGAGTGATCCTGATGGTATGGAGTGATCATGCAGGTGTGGAGTGATCATGCAGGTGTGGAGTGATCCTGCTGGTGTGGAGTGATCATGCAGGTGTGGAGTGATCATGCAGGTGTGGAGTGATCATGCAGGTGTGGAGTGATCATGCAGGTGTGGAGTGATCATGCAGGTGTGGGTTGATCATGCAGGTGTGGAGTGATCCTGTTGGTGTGGAGTGATCATGCAGGTGTGGAGTGATCATGCAGGTGTGGAGAGATCCTGTTTGTGTGGAGTGATCATGCAGGTGTGGAGTGATCCTGCAGGTGCGGAGTGATCCTGCAGGTGTGGAGTGATCCTGCAAGTGTGGTGTGATCTTTCAGGTGTGGAGGGATCATGCATGTGTGGAGGGATCCTGTTGGTGTGGAGTGATCATGCAGGTGTGGAGTGATCATGCAGGTGTGGAGTGATCCTGTTGGTGTGGAGTGATCATGCAGATGTGGAGTGATCATGCAGGAGTGGAGTGATCCTGCAAGTGTGGAGTGATCATGCAGGTGTGGAGTGATCATGCAGGTGTGGAGTGATCCTGTTGGTGTGGAGTGATCATGCAGGTGTGGAGTGATCATGCAGGTGTGGAGTGATCATGCAGGCGTGGAGTGATCATGCAGGTATGGAGTGATCATGCAGGTGTGGACGTTTCTTGTACGACTCGGGCGTTGTGGCAGTGTTGATATTATAGCTGATAGTGAAATGTGGCCTTGATTCACAGGCAGCTCTGGTGGGCTAATACGCCACGTTCCCAGAGGAGTGAGAAGTGGCAGCATAAGTGCACTCACTCTGGCTTGCTGGAGGAGAGTTGCCCCGAGTGGTGTCCCTACTGGTCGATATATAGGCTATGTGTACCTTATGGGTCAAGCCTGAAGCCATACAGAGATGAACGGGTGCTCCATCCCGCCTGAAATAGTGTGCTAGCTAGCCATAGTGGTGTGGAGTGGCCCACCCATGATCTTTTCCGTTCGAATCTATTTGAAACTAGGATATTAGAGGTAGGGAACGGACGGCTAGATTCAGTTATGGCGATGCTCCTCTCCCTCCCTCGGTTCCTCTCCCTTCCCCCTCCCACGGTTCCTCTCACTCCCCCTCCCACCCTTCCTCTCCCTCCCCCTCCCTTCTCCAACCACGTGTCTCCGCCCTCTCTTATCTAACAGCTGATCAATGCCGCATATCCTGTCTGCCGATGTACTCTTTAAAGCATACAAAAAATTTAAAGGTACAATACTGCACCAGCCTTTAAGTGCATTGCAGTTCAATGAAATTATGCTCCAGGACTACCACCTAACATGCTTAGGCCTATCCCATCCAGGCCCCGGGAAAGACCACATTCCTCAGGACGGCATTATATTTTGCCCTTTGTTTTCGCCAAAGGCCAAAGTAGAACGCTTCCTCCCGGGCTCGTAGGCTGCTTAATAAATACTTAAGGTAGTTCCGCCATGGAAGCTAGCACAAGCTAAAGTGCCTGAACGTCATGTACTAACTTTGAAACTTGGGAACTTTCCTCTCAGAAAATTCTGACGAAACATGTTACAGAGAGCAATAGAATATCATTTTGATTTTTTTTAACAAAACCCTGATCGGAGTTTAGTTCTAAGTTACTTAATGTATATCAGATTGCATAATATAAGGGCAGTAGTACCGCCTGAACCGTTACCAGGGTGGACGTTGATGGTGGTAACATCCAGGTTATCATCTTTGTCGCCATTATGCCGTAGGAAAAGCTGCCATAACCAACTACCTTAGCCGGCTGGTTAACTGGTGGCCAGGTGGTGGGCCCATGGAGGCCCACGGGGGCCCAGTGGGACTGTGAAATACATGTGGGTTGCCGTTGACCCACGGCTCAGGGGTGGCAGAAGGATGGTCGGGACTGGGCCTGGCAAATCCCCCCACCAGCTGGGCCATTTAACTCTACACACTTCGACCTTATGGCACTCCAGCCCCGAAAGAAGCATAATGATAAAAACTCTCCTTTAATAAACACAAACATAATTTAAAAACGCTATAATAATATCAAAGAATTACTAATTATATCCTCATAGTGTTACGTTTAAAAACTCGAAGGAATACGTTAATTCACACTAAAATATAAGCCAAACAAATGTCATTACGCTCTGCAAAGGATCCTCTCTTTGTTTACCAAAATACCGTGGCTTTAAATCGACGCTGAGGGCATCTGGCGGCAGCTAGTTTAAAATTTGGACTTTTTGTTTATATACATATTTTAATAAACCCGTGTATGTCAATACAACAAATTAACTCAAGACGTGAAGCGTCAGAATATATTTCACAAAAGACTGCCTTAGGTAAAGAGAAGATGCCGTAGGAGAAGAGTTATTAGAAGATAAGAGTGTAAACGCTCGCTGAGTGGGACTGGCGGGAAATTCGTATGGCATCGGGATTGGAGTTTGGCGCCAGTTATTGTTCACTGGCGGACTGGTGGTCGGCGGGGAGAGTGGCGCTGCGTATTTCGCCTCTCGAGTGGAGTAAGTGTCCTTTTGTCGGGTTCTGGGCTGGTGTATGAGCTGGTAGGATGTGGATGTGTGTTGCGTGAGGCGGTGAAGGGTGTGGGTGGCGAGATGAAGGGAGGGCGAGGTGCGGAAGTGGTGGAAACAGTTTTGGCGGGCTGGCGGCCATCACAGCGCCAGCATGGGTGACGCGCGGGAGTTTGGCCCCTCGGTTCATCCTGATTTTCTTCCCTCTGGGCAAGCTTCTGGCGGTGTTTGGGTAGTGGGCGAGAAGATAAGAGGTAAGTGAAGGTGAATATCGCAGTAGTGGTTGGGAAAGTGGATGCTGGGGTGGCGAAAGTGGACACAGCGTTGCCGCCTCTAGGTCGTAGTGGTGGTGGTAGCAGTGAAGTTTGTGTTACGGGGGGTTGACCTGACCCCTAGCCCCACATGCCTTGCTCTGAGGTCACCACCTCGCCCATGCCCCCCCACCTGCGCTGCCTGGCCCCGGGGGCACCAGGGGACCATACATTTGGCCGGTTTGGCCGAGGTAGGGAGTGGCGGGGAGGGTTATTGAGGTGGTCCCCCTCGTGGCCAAGTGTGGTGGTGGTGGTGGGTTGTGGCCGCGGGAAGGCCGTCTGCCTCGCCCTCGTACACATGTAAACCATCTTTGGACCACAACCTGACCTGAGCTGAGCGCCTACAGCCACCAGTACCATCTGAACACCAGCAACGGGCGGTGGAAATACCCTGAAGATAAAGACGAATATTCATTTGGGGGGGTTAGTGCACCTTAGATTATGGGGAGGGGGAGGGGGGTGACAGGTTGTTTTTTTTAGGGGGTAAGAAGAGGGCAAGGTAATGTAACTTGTGTATCGATTACAAAGCATGCTTGTAATATTTTAAACATTTGAGGCACTTATCAGTAATGGGGTCGATGTGTAAATGTGGGTTTGGAGGCATCGACATAACTGCTACAATAGATGGGGGGGTTGTGGTGTTGACCACAACACACTGAAGATCCTGTATGCTAACCTCTTGAAGGACTCGTTTACCTGCAGGTTCCCTTAGGTGTAGTCATTTAAAGAGTTAAGCTTCCTTAAGTCATCTCTCTTTATCCAGGCACACTTTTGCTCTATTTGGCTTATTGTCCCATTTGGCTGTAGGTTCACTTGACCCATTTGTTTCTGGGTTCTGCCCTTGACCCATTTGTTTCTGGGTTCTGCCCTTGACCCATTTGTTTCTGGGTTCTGCCCTTGACCCATTTGTTTCTGGGTTCTGCCCTTGACCCATTTGTTTCTGGGTTCTGCCCTTGACCCATTTGTTTCTGGGTTCTGCCCTTGACCCATTTGTTTCTGGGTTCTGCCCTTGACCCATTTGTTTCTGGGTTCTGCCCTTGACCCATTTGTTTCTGGGTTCTGCCCTTGACCCATTTGTTTCTGGGTTCTGCCCTTGACCCATTTGTTTCTGGGTTCTGCCCTTGACCCATTTGTTTCTGGGTTCTGCCCTTGACCCATTTGCTTCTGGGTTCTGCCCTTGACCCATTTGCTTCTGGGTTCTGCCCTTGACCCATTTGCTTCTGGGTTCTGCCCTTGACCCATTTGCTTCTGGGTTCTGCCCTTGACCCATTTGCTTCTGGGTTCTGCCCTTGACCCATTTGCTTCTGGGTTCTGCCCTTGACCCATTTGCTTCTGGGTTCTGCCCTTGACCCCATTTGCTTCTGGGTTCTGCCATTGACCCCATTTGCTTCTGGGTTCTGCCCTTGACCCATTTGTTTCTGGGTTCTGCCATTTGACCCCATTTGTTTCTGGGTTCTGCCATTGACCCCATTTGTTTCTGGGTTCTGCCATTGGCCCATTTGTTTCTGGGTTCTGCCATTGGCCCATTTGTTTCTGGGTTCTGCCATTGGCCCATTTGTTTCTGGGTTCTGCTATTGGCCCATTTGTTTCTGGGTTCTGCCATTGGCTCATTTGTTTCTGGTTTCTGCCATTGGCCCATTTGTTTCTGGGTTCTGCCATTGGCCCATTTGTTTCTGGGTTTTTCCCTTGACCCCATTTGTTTCTGGGTTTTTCCCTTGACCCCATTTGTTTCTGGGTTCTTCCCTTGACCCCATTTGTTTTTGGGTTCTTCCCTTGACCCCATTTGTTTCTGGGTTCTGCCATTAACCCCATTTGTTTCTGGGTTCTGCCATTAACCCCATTTGTTTCTGGGTTCTGCCATTAACCCCATTTGTTTCTGGGTTCTGCCATTAACCCCATTTGTTTCTGGGTTCTGCCATTAACCCCATTTGTTTCTGGGTTCTGCCATTGACCCATTTGTTTCTGGGTTCTTCCCTTGACCCCATTTGTTTCTGGGTTCTGCCATAGACCCCATTTGTTACTGGGTTCTTCCCTTGACCCCATTTGTTTCTGGGTTCTTCCCTTGACCCCATTTGTTTCTGGGTTCTTCCCTTGACCCCATTTGTTTCTGGGTTCTTCCCTTGACCCCATTTGTTTCTGGGTTCTTCCCTTGACCCCATTTGTTTCTGGGTTCTTCCCTTGACCCCATTTGTTTCTGGGTTCTTCCCTTGACCCTATTTGTTTCTGGGTTCTTCCCTTGACCCTATTTGTTTCTGGGTTCTTCCCTTGACCCCATTTGTTTCTGGGTTCTTCCCTTGACCCTATTTGTTTCTGGGTTCTTCCCTTGACCCCATTTGTTTCTGGGTTCTTCCCTTGACCCCATTTGTTTCTGGGTTCTGCCATTGACCCATTTGTTTCTGGGTTCTGCCATTGACCCATTTGTTTCTGGGTTCTGCTCTTGACCCATTTGATTTGGGTTCTGCCATTGACCCATTTACCTCTGGGTACTTATCCCCCTTGACCCATTTGCCTCTGGTCACTGCCCCCTTGTCCCATTCACCTCTGGTCACTGCCCCCTTGGTCCATTTGCCTCTGGGTACTTTCCCCCTTGGTCCATTTGCCTCTGGGTACTTTCCCCCTTGGTCCATTTGCCTCTGGGTACTTTCCCCCTTGGTCCATTTGCCTCTGGGTACTTTCCCCCTTCGTCCATTTGCCTCTGGGTACTTTCCCCCTTGGTCCATTTGCCTCTGGGTACTTTCCCGCTTGGTCCATTTGCCTCTGGGTACTTTCCCCCTTGGTCCATTTGCCTCTGGGTACTTTCCCCCTTGGTCCATTTGCCTCTGGGTACTTTCCCCCTTGGTCCATTTGCCTCTGGGTACTTTCCCCCTTGGTCCGTTTGCCTCTGGGTACTTTCCCCCTTGGCCCGTTTGCCTCTGGGTACTTTCCCCCTTGGCCCGTTTGCCTCTGGGTACTTTCCCCCTTGGCCCGTTTGCCTCTGGGTACTTCCCCCCTTGGCCCGTTTGCCTCTGGGTACTTTCCCCCTTGGCCCGTTTGCCTCTGGGTACTTTCCCCCTTGGCCCGTTTGCCTCTGGGTACTTTCCCCCTTGGCCCGTTTGCATCTGGGTACTTACCCCTTGGCCCGTTTGCCTCTGGGTACATACCCCTTGGCCCATTTGCCTCTGGTGACTGCCCCCTTGGCCCATTTGCCTCTGGTGACTGCCCCCTTGGCCCATTTGCCTCTGGTGACTGCCCCCCTCGGCCCATTTGCCTCTGGTGACTGCCCCCCTCGGCCCATTTGCCTCTGGTGACTGCCCCCTTGGCCCATTTGCCTCTGGTGACTGCCCCCTTGGCCCATTTGCCTCTGGTGACTGCCCCCTTGGCCCATTTGCCTCTGGTGACTGCCCCCTTGGCCCATTTGCCTCTGGTGACTGCCCCCTTGGCCCATTTGCCTCTGGTGACTGCCCCCTTGGCCCATTTGCCTCTGGTGACTGCCCCCTTGGCCCATTTGCCTCTGGTGACTGCCCCCTTGGCCCATTTGCCTCTGGTGACTGCCCCCTTGGCCCATTTGCCTCTGGTGACTGCCCCCTTGGCCCATTTGCCTCTGGTGACTGCCCCCTTGGCCCATTTGCCTCTGGTGACTGCCCCCTTGGCCCATTTGCCTCTGGTGACTGCCCCCTTGGCCCATTTGCCTCTGGTGACTGCCCCCTTGGCCCATTTGCCTCTGGTGACTGCCCCCTCGGCCCATTTGCCTCTGGTGACTGCCCCCTCGGCCCATTTGCCTCTGGTGACTGCCCCCTCGGCCCATTTGCCTCTGGTGACTGCCCCCTCGGCCCATTTGCCTCTGGTGACTGCCCCCTCGGCCCATTTGCCTCTGGTGACTGCCCCCTCGGCCCATTTGCCTCTGGTGACTGCCCCCTGGGCCCATTTGCCTCTGGTGACTGCCCCCTGGGCCCATTTGCCTCTGGTGACTGCCCCCTCGGCCCATTTGCCTCTGGTGACTGCGCCCCTCGGCCCATTTGCCTCTGGTGACTGCGCCCCTCGGCCCATTTGCCTCTGACTGCGCCCCTCGGCCCATTTGCCTCTGGTGACTGCGCCCCTCGGCCCATTTGCCTCTGGTGACTGCGCCCCTCGGCCCATTTGCCTCTGGTGACTGCGCCCCTCGGCCCATTTGCCTCTGGTGACTGCCCCCCTCGGCCCATTTGCCTCTGGTGACTGCCCCCCTCGGCCCATTTGCCTCTGGTGACTGCCCCCCTCGGCCCATTTGCGTCTGGTGACTGCCCCCCTCGGCCCATTTGCCTCTGGTGACTGCGCCCCTCGGCCCATTTGCCTCTGGTGACTGCGCCCCTCGGCCCATTTGCCTCTGGTGACTGCCCCCCTCGGCCCATTTGCCTCTGGTGACTGCCCCCCTCGGCCCATTTGCCTCTGGTGACTGCCCCCCTCGGCCCATTTGCCTCTGGTGACTGCCCCCCTCGGCCCATTTGCGTCTGGTGACTGCCCCCCTCGGCCCATTTGCCTCTGGTGACTGCCCCCCTCGGCCCATTTGCCTCTGGTGACTGCCCCCCTCGGCCCATTTGCCTCTGGTGACTGCCCCCCTCGGCCCATTTGCCTCTGGTGACTGCCCCCCTCGGCCCATTTGCCTCTGGTGACTGCCCCCCTCGGCCCATTTGCCTCTGGTGACTGCCCCCCTCGGCCCATTTGCCTCTGGTGACTGCCCCCCTCGGCCCATTTGCCTCTGGTGACTGCCCCCCTCGGCCCATTTGCCTCTGGTGACTGCCCCCCTCGGCCCATTTGCCTCTGGTGACTGCCCCCCTCGGCCCATTTGCCTCTGGTGACTGCCCCCCTCGGCCCATTTGCCTCTGGTGACTGCCCCCCTCGGCCCATTTGCCTCTGGTGACTGCCCCCCTCGGCCCATTTGCCTCTGGTGACTGCCCCCCTCGGCCCATTTGCCTCTGGTGACTGCCCCCCTCGCCCCATTTGCCTCTGGTGACTGCCCCCCTCGGCCCATTTGCCTCTGGTGACTGCCCCCCTCGGCCCATTTGCCTCTGGTGACTGCCCCCTCGGCCCATTTGGCCCTGGGCGCTGCCGCCCCCTTTGACCCGTTTGGCCCTGGGCGCTGCCGCCCCCTTTGACCCTGGGCGCTGCCGCCCCCTTTGACCCTGGGCGCTGCCGCCCCCTTTGACCCTGGGCGCTGCCGCCCCCTTTGACCCTGGGCGCTGCCGCCCCCTTTGACCCTGGGCGCTGCCGCCCCCTTTGACCCTGGGCGCTGCCGCCCCCTTTGACCCTGGGCGCTGCCGCCCCCTTTGACCCTGGGCGCTGCCGCCCCCTTTGACCCTGGGCGCTGCCGCCCCCTTTGACCCTGGGCGCTGCCGCCCCCTTTGACCCTGGGCGCTGCCGCCCCCTTTGACCCTGGGCGCTGCCGCCCCCTTTGACCCTGGGCGCTGCCCCCCCCTTTGGCTCTGGGCGCTGCCGCCCCTTTGACCCTGGGCGCTGCCGCCCCCTTTGGCCCTGGGCGCTGCCGCCCCCTTTGGCCCTGGGCGCTGCCGCCCCCTTTGGCCCTGGGCGCTGCCGCCCCCTTTGGCCCTGGGCGCTGCCGCCCCCTTTGACCCCTTTGACCCCTTTGGCCCTGGGCGCTGCCGCCCCCTTTGACCCATTTGGCCCTGGGCACTGCCCCTTTGGCCTTGTTTACTCGGGTACTCCCATCTGACTGGTATGACCCCCTTTGACCCTATTGGCTGGAGAACTCAAGCGTGACCCATGTGGATGTGGGTACTCTGTACTCTTGACCCATTTGGCTCTGGGTGCTCTGTACCCTGGACCCATTTGGTCCTTGGCCCCATTTAACCCTGGGTGATCTGTACTTTGGACAGGTCTAATTTGGCCCTGGGCTGTTTTTCTCCTCTAGACCCATTTGACCCTTTGGCTTTTATTCCTGTACCCATTTAGGTTCCTTCTTGAGGTGATCTTGATGATTTCGGGGCCTAGCGTCCCCGCGGCCCGGTCCTCGACCAGGCCTCCTTTTTTTTTTTTTTTACATCCCCCCAGGAAGCAGCCAGTAGCAGCAGTCTTAACTCCCAGGTACCTATTTACTGCTACCTTGAGGTGATTTTGGGGCTCTGTGACCCCACTACCCGGTTGTCGACCAGGCCTCCTCGTTGCTGGACTGGTCAACCAGGCTGTTGGACGCGGCTGCTCGCAGCCTGGCATTCAAGGTACAGCGTGGTTGATCAGGTATCCTTTGGAGGCGCTTATCCAGTTCTCTCTTGAACACTGTGAGAGGTCGGCCAGTTATGCCCCTTACGTGCAGGGGAAGCGTGTTGAACAGTCTTGGGCCTCTGATGTTGATAGTTCTCTTGAGTCCCTGTTGCACCTCTGCTCTTCAATGGGGTATTCTGCACATCCTGCCATGCCTTCTGGTCTCATGTGGTGCTGTGTTGTCTCAGGTGTTGTGCTAGTTAACAGGGACATCAGGGTGAAAGACACTGCCCAATTTTGTTTCCGCCTCCACTGGAATCAAACTCGAACCCTCAGGACTACGAATCCAAAGCACTGTCCACTCAACTGTCAGGCCCCAAGAGGGTCCCCTTCTTCCCTTAAGACCCTCTTGGGTCCCCTAGGGGTCCTTTCTTCCCTGTGGATCCTCTAGGGGTCCCCTGGGAGGTCTTCTTCCCCGTGGATCCTCTAGGGTCCCCTGGGAGGTCTTCTTCCCTATGGATCCTCTTGGGTCCCCAGGGAGGACCTTTCTAACCTGTAGACCCTCTAGGGTCCTCTAGGAGGTTCTTTCTTCCCTGTGGATCCTCGAGGGTCCCCTGGGAGGACCTTTCTAACCTGTAGACCCTCTAGGGTTCCATGGGAGGACCTTTCTTCCCTTAAGATCCTCTTGGGTCCCCTGGCAGGTCCTTCTCTGTGGATCCTCTTGGGTCCCCTGGAGGGGGGTTCGTTTCTTCCTTCTGGGTCTCCTGTGGGTCCTTTGTTCCCTCTGGACACATTTAGCCCCAGCACCCTCCCACATTCCCATTAGGATCTAAAGACTTATCTGTACAGTACCTTATTCATCAAGGCCTAGACGTCTGCCAGGAAGGGCCTTTAACTTCTGACTCCTAGATGGCTCATTTTACTCTGGGCTTTTTTTTTATCCCTTCCTAGGCCTCCTTGATCCCCCCCTAGGCCTCCTTGATCCCCCTAGGCCTCCTTGATCCCCACCTAGGCCTCCTTGATCCCCACCTAGGCCTCCTTGATCTCCACCTAGGCCTCCTTGATCCCCACCTAGGCCTCCTTGATCCCCCCTAGGCCTCCTTGATCCCCACCTAGGCCTCCTTGATCCCCACCTAGGCCTCCTTGATCCCCCCTAGGCCTCCTTGATCCCCCCTAGGCCTCCTTGATCCCCCCCTAGGCCTCCTTGATCCCCCCCTAGGCCTCCTTGATCCCCCCCTAGGCCTCCTTGATCCCCCCCTAGGCCTCCTTGATCCCCCCCTAGGCCTCCTTGATCCCCCCTAGGCCTCCTTGATCCCCCCCTAGGCCTCCTTGATCCCCCCCTAGGCCTCCTTGATCCCCCCCTAGGCCTCCTTGATCCCCCCTAGGCCTCCTTGATCCCCCCCTAGGCCTCCTTGATCCCCCCTAGGCCTCCTTGATCCCCCCCTAGGCCTCCTTGATCCCCCCTAGGCCTCCTTGATCCCCCCCTAGGCCTCCTTGATCCCCCCTAGGCCTCCTTGATCCCCCCCTAGGCCTCCTTGATCCCCCCCTAGGCCTCCTTGATCCCCCCCTAGGCCTCCTTGATTCCCCCCTAGGCCTCCTTGATTCCCCCCTAGGCCTCCTTGATTCCCCCCTAGGCCTCCTTGATCCCCCCCTAGGCCTCCTTGATCCCCCCCTAGGCCTCCTTGATCCCCCCTAGGCCTCCTTGATCCCCCCTAGGCCTCCTTGATCCCCCTAGGCCTCCTTGATCCCCCTAGGCCTCCTTGATCCCCTTAGGCCTCCTTGATCCCCCCCTAGGCCGCCTTGATCCCCCCCTAGGCCGCCTTGATCCCCCCCTAGGCCGCCTTGATCCCCCCCTAGGCCGCCTTGATCCCCCCCTGGGCCGCCTTGATCCTCCCCTAGGCCGCCTTGATCCCCCCCTAGGCCTCCTTGATCCCCCCCTAGGCCTCCTTGATCCCCCCCTAGGCCTCCTTGATCCCCCCTAGGCCTCCTTGATCCCCCCTAGGCCTCCTTGATCCCCCCTAGGCCTCCTTGATCCCCCCTTAGGCCTCCTTGATCCCCCCTTAGGCCTCCTTGATCCCCCCCTAGGCCTCCTTGATCCCCCCCTAGGCCTTCCTCGATCCCCCCTAGGCCTTCCTCGATCCCCCCTAGGCCTTCCTCGATCCCCCCTAGGCCTCCTCGATCCCTCCCTACCTAGACCTCCTCGATCCCCCCACTTAGGCCTCCTGGATTGCCCCCCCTCCACCTAGGCCTCCTGGATCTCCTCCCCCCCCCACCTAGGCCTCCTGGATCTCCTCCCCCCACCTAGGCCTCCTGGATCTCCTCCCCACCCACCTAGGCTCCTGGATCTCTCCCCCCACACCTAGGCCTCCCGGATCTCTCTCCCCCACCCACTCCTAGGCCTCACGGATCTCTCCCCCCCCCCAACCCACACCTAGGCCTCCTGGATCTCTCCCCCCCCCCACCCACACCTAGGCCTCCTGGATCTCTCCCCCCCCCCACCCACACCTAGGCCTCCTGGATCTCTCCCCCCCCACCCACACCTAGGCCTCCTGGATCTCTCCCCCCCCCACCCACACCTAGGCCTCCTGGATCTCTCCCCCCCCCCACCCACACCTAGGCCTCCTGGATCTCTCCCCCCCCACCCACACCTAGGCCTCCTGGATCTCTCCCCCCCACCCACACCTAGGCCTCCTGGATCTCTCCCCACCTAGGCCTCCTGGATCTCCCCCCACCTAGGCCTCCTGGATCTCCCCCCCCCCCCACCTAGGCCTCCTGGATCTCCCCCCCCCCACCTAGGCCTCCTGGATCTCCCCCCCCCCACCTAGGCCTCCTGGATCTCCCCCCCACCTAGGCCTCCTAGATCTCCCCCCCCCACCTAGGCCTCCTGGATTTCCCCCCCCCCACCTAGGCCTCCTGGATCTCCCCCCCACCTAGGCCTTCTGGATTTCCCCCCCCCCCCCACCTAGGCCTCTTTGATCCCCCACCTAGGCTTCCATGACCCCCCCTAGGCTTCCTTGCTACCCTAGCACCATATTTATGCCCGAAATGCTTTGCGTAATAGTGGCTTTAGGCATTGTATGTACTGGCTCTACCTATAAGTCAACCAATCTTTGTAAAAATTTCTTGTATGTATGTACCTTACCTAAATAAACATTTTATTTTTTTTATTTTTTATTATTTCCTTGACTAGACCCCAGTAATAATGTGTGTAGTCAGCCTTTGGACCCTGGGGTACCCGTCACATGGAATGAGAGCAGACAACTTGAAACGCGAACTCATTTATCTTTGATTCCCTGTACAGGGTATAACTACTGGACCCCTTTGATTCAGTAGTCTCTTGTACCCTTGAACCACTACCTTGATCAATATCTTGACCCCTCCCCTGGCCCTAGCCATTAATTAATGGGACCTAATATATAGTGGATAAATGGCGTATCTGTATCCACTAGATCCTTAGTGCCATTGTGATATACCTTAGAGCCCCTGGATTCCCTGGCCCTCTGGGCCCCCTGGATTCCCTGGCCCTCTGGGCCCCCTGGGTTCCCTGGCCCTCTGGGCCCCCTGGATTCCCTGGCCCTCTGGGCCCCCTGGATTCCCTGGCCCTCTGGGCCCCTTGGATTCCCTGACCCTCTGGGCCCCCTGGATTCCCTGGCCCTCTGGGCCCCCTGGATTCCCTGGCCCTCTGGGCCCCCTGGATTCCCTGGCCCTCTGGGCCCCCTGGATTCCCTGGCCCTCTGGGCCCCCTGGATTCCCTGGCCCTCTGGGCCCCCTGGATTCCCTGGCCCTCTGGGCCCCCTGGATTCCCTGGCCCTCTGGGCCCCCTGGATTCCCTGGCCCTCTGGGCCCCCTGGATTCCCTGGCCCTCTGGGCCCCCTGGATTCCCTGGCCCTCTGGGCCCCCTGGATTCCCTGGCCCTCTGGGCCCCCTGGATTCCCTGGCCCTCTGGGCCCCCTGGATTCCCTGGCCCTCTGGGCCCCCTGGATTCCCTGGCCCTCTGGGCCCCCTGGATTTCCTGGCCCTCTGGGCCCTCTGGGCCCCCTGGATTCCCTGGCCCTCTGGGCCCCCTGGATTTCCTGGCCCTCTGGGCCCCCTGGATTCCCTGACCCTCTGGGCCCCCTGGATTCCCTGGCCCTCTGGGCCCCCTGGATTTCCTGGCCCTCTGGACCCCCTGGATTTCCTGGCCCTCTGGGCCCCCTGGATTCCCTGGCCCTCTGGGCCCCCTGGATTCCCTGGCCCTCTGGGCCCCCTGGATTTCCTGGCCCTCTGGGCCCCCTGGATTCCCTGGCCCTCTGGGCCCCCTGGATTCCCTGGCCCTCTGGGCCCCCTGGATTTCCTGGCCCTCTGGGCCCCCTGGATTTCCTGGCCCTCTGGGCCCCCTGGATTTCCTGGCCCTCTGGGCCCCCTGGATTCCCTGACCCTCTCTGAGTCCTCCATGGGTCTGCTGGTTCTCGCCCCCCCCCCCCCCTGTGTTTGCTGGCTCTCTGCCCCCCCCCCCCCTTTTGTCTGCTGGCACCTTACTGGGTCTCCTGGGTCCAGTGGCCCTCTAAGCCCATTGGGTCCACTGGCTCTCTGGGCCCCCTGAGTCAGCTGGCCAGAAAGAGCATCGTCATGTTAACTCAAACACCCAACGTGTGGATGGAATTCAATCCCAAGTCGTAAATGAAATGACAGATGCACTATGCCTACCACTGAAACACCTTTTCAGAAAATCTCGAGAGCAAGTGATAATTCCCCTGGATTGGAAATGTCCAAATGTTGAAATATCTAAATCACGTCACACAGCACCGCTCCTGTGCCAGATAAGTCCACTACGGGCTCACCATAGCCCGTGCTACTTGCCCTGCTCCAGTGCAGGTAAGCTACGGGCTCACCATAGCCTGTGCTACTTGGAACTTGTTCCAAGTAGCACAAGTAACTTGGAACACAAGTAGTTCTTGGAACACAAGTACAAGTTCCAAGTAACTTGGAACTTGTTCCAAGTAGCTGAATCGATAACAACCACCACCACCAAATGGTGCCCCCCTATCTTCAAAAAAAAGGCAGAGAGCTCAACATATAACTACTGTCCTATCAGCTTGACTTCATACATCTGCTAGCTCACGGAGAGAATCCCATGGGAGGGAATAATTTACCGTCTCGGTGAATAAACTATACAATCAATTCCTATAGGTTTGTTAAATAGATCCTGCTTTGCAAAGTTGCTTATGCTTTTGGAAACTAACCAGCTATTCAAATGACTTCCAATAGATGTATATACTGTACTGTACATGGACTTTGCTAAAACTTTTGATGCAGTACCCAATGAGACTAACATTGGATATTATAGGCACATGGAATAAATGGTGGAATACTAGAATGAATAAAACATTGGTTAAAACAAAGAAAGCAAAGGGGGTGTCCTAAACAAATGTATCCCACTTGAGAAATGTGATGAGTGGGGTACAAGGGTCCATTTTGGGATGTCAAGTGAAAATGAGATCGAGGCCTTAAAAAAATCTACATAAACTCCTTGAAAGGTCAGAAGACTGGCAAATGCTTTTTAATATCAGAAAATGCAAGAAATTGCATGTGGGATAAATTTAACATCACCTTGCAGCAGTGATGAAGAAAATGTCCTTGGAATCAGAATCTATCACAATGGAAGTTGTACAAGAAGTGGAAGCTGCAGGAAAATTTGCAAACCTAACCCTAGGAATAATAAAGCAAAACATTTGACTGAAAAGAAGGCAGTTATTCATCTCTATAAATCTCTGGTGCTTCACTTCAATTATTGTAGTGAAAAATCTCACTTCAATTGTATCCAAGCAAGAGACCTTGCCTTTGAAAAGACGTGGCTGCACCAGAGAAAGTTCAACACTGGGCAACGAAATTCATTCAAGAACTAAATCACTCATAGCAGGAATGGTTAAAGGTCACAGGGGTTAATGGTCACTGCAAACAGGACGTGACAGAGCTGATCTCATCAAATCTTTTGGAGGATACTGAACAATTTGGAGGGTACTGACCCAGACAGCTTCAAAAGGCCAGATGTAACAAACGAGGAGTAATGGTTTTAAGTGCAACAAGCCACAATGTAGGACAAAAAACAAGTGACTTTTATCCATAGGGTTATAAACCTATTGAACTGCGTACCAGCCATAGTTGTAAATGCCAAAATACAGCTGAATTTTAAAATTCAGCTCGATGAAATCATCAGGACAAATGGGGGGGGGGGGACCTCTGACAAGCTTTCGGCTAACTTTCCTCATACAGGCCTCAGGAAAATTCAGAAACTTGCACGAAATGCTTTAATATCACTGGTTTGTACTCGCCTATTTGGGCTTGCAGGGTTTGAGTTTTGGCTCCTTGGGTCCTGCCTTTCAGTCAATCAACTGATGTTCAGGCTCCTGAGCCTATTGGGTTCTTATGATATCTACATTTGAAACTTTGTATGGAGTCTTCCTCCACTAGATCAATGCCTACTACATTCCATTTAACTACTGACATGATAAATGTTCTGACTCATTTGGATACTCGGTTCCCACATGTGTATATATCACGTGTTAAATAGTGTCCCCTTTTAAATATTGGGAGTCCAGTACATTTGTTCCTCATGTAAATTCAGAATCTTGCATGGAATGCATGTTATTGTGTCTGGTCTTTAGCTTTGTGCTTCATGTCCTCTTAAAAAAAAATTTAAAAATTTAAAAATTAAAAATTGTCCTTCCCAGATCACTTGTAGCTATCCAGTCTCTAATTTAATGTTGAACACTATCGTTAATAGGTAACACAAGATCTCTGCAGCGTCCGTCAGTAACCATGGTGATGCATGGGTCTGCTTGTACTGCCTTTGCTATGTCCAGTTCCTACAGGTGTCCTTTTACGTCCTGTACAGTAATGTCAATTCTATCTAGTTTCTGGTAATTTATTTTCCAATTTGGGTATCAATCTGGTTCCAGTTTGGAACCACTCGTCAAGTTCTTTACACAGTTCAGTTGTCTTTCTCCAAGCGTGTTCCTTCCTATTCCCGCAACCTGATCACATGGTCTCAGACAATTGTTTTCTCCATGTATGGCTGTGCAATACTGTACACTGAAGGAAGAAATTTGTCACCTTCATTTACAACTTCAGTGGAAATAACAGATCCTTGTGGCCACCACCACCACCCCCTACAATACCACTTACGACACCAGTATATCAATGGGCCTCGTAGCCTGGTGGATAGCGCGCAGGACTCGTAATTCTGTGGCGCGGGTTCGATTCCCTCACGAGGCAGAAACAAATGGGCAAAGTTTCTTTCACCCTGAATGCCCCTGTTACCTAGCAGTAAATAGGTACCTGGGAGTTAGTCAGCTGTCACGGGCTGCTTCCTGGGGGTGGAGGCCTGGTCGAGGACCGGGCCGCAGGGACACTAAAAAGCCCCGAAATCATCTCAAGATAACCTCAAGATAAGATGGCCTTATTTTGTTGCAAGATGGCATTTGATTCTTGATAATCAAAGTACACATAGTTGGATACTACCTTTTCCGTACCTATATGACTGTTTATTCTTATAGCACTTCAAAGTGCCATAGACCTGTAATCATATTCATTTAGTGCTCTGTAGTGGTTGTGAAAGTACACTCCTTGTCCTCCCTCGTTATTGGTCTGGATCTGGAGAGGATTTCAGGAGTTGTACTCCTTCAGCCTGACCTGGGGGCCAGGCTTGTCTTGTGATAACTTGGTCCCACGGGCACAAAAGATGAGGGAGGGAGGGGGGGAACCTGCTTGGAGCAGCCCGAAGGTCCACATATCCACTACAACCCGGTTAGTCCAGGACTGCAGAAACATACCTAATTGCTTCTTGAAGTTCACCTCTGTTTACAATTGCTCATTTGTAGCATTTGCTGTAGTAGTAAGTACATGTATCGGTAAAGTTGTGAATTAGCTCATGGCTTTACTTTGAAGTGGCAAGAAGTAAAGAATGTTTGTTACTGATGTAGTTTATATAAGAACAGTTACAGCAAAAATTTTAATAACAGTAAGGCAAGTGACCAAGAGGCAAGGATATTGGCTAGCAAGAAAAATTAATAATAGTCGGTGTTGGGGAGGACAGGCAGCCAGCTAACATGCATCCATGTTAGTTATATCGAGGTTCCCCTCAGGGGGAAATTACTGACCCTCCCCAAGATGCAACCCCCACAAAAAGCTAATTGCTGACTAACTTAATACAAATTATTCTTAGTTTATGGCATGCAAGAAAACTGTATTAACGTGTTTTTCTTGTCTTTTCAGTGTGAGGGACATTTGTGGTGCTAAAGTTGCCCAGGAGTGGGCAGTAGTTCACCTATTTAAAAATAGGTAAGTTTACAAGTGTGTGTAATTACAGGACAAGTTATGCTCATGGCATCCCATTTTACCATTCATTGACTTCTCACTCGTATTGTTCAGACTTGTTCCAACTGTTTGGACTTGATCCAACTGCAACTGCTTGCAAAATAGAATATTATATTGATGACCTTGTGTCTCTGAAGTTGTAAGTTAAAAAAAATCTTGTTTATTTTGTTGAGTGATGTTACTATTTTGTATTATTTTGCATGCACTGGTTGCACCATTGTCTTGATTGTTGCTGTTTTTTGTATACAATTTTCTTCAGACAATTAATTACATTACCCCTCTAAATTTAGATTCTTGGTAAATACAGTATGCAATATTAGTAATATCTGGAGACTACCAACTCCTCCTCCTTGTCCTTTTCCTCACCCCTTCCTCCTCGTCCTTTTCCTTGGCCCCCCCCCCCTCCACCTCCTTGCATTTTTCCTCATCTCCTTGTTTCCTCATTCCCCCCCCCCCCCCCCCCCCCCTTTGTCTTTTCCTCACCCTCCTGTCTTCTCCCTTTTATTCGTTTTCTCTTCATATCTTCTCAATTTACTCCCTCCTTTTCATCCCCTCCCTCTGTTTTAAGTGACTGATATTGGCATGTTTGCAAAACAATGGTGGTGTTATCAGCAATAGTTACATAACAGGAACATAGGAATTTTTTTTTTATTAAACCAAATTGTGGTTGCAGTGGAAGGGATCCATTGGTCCTGAAAGTATGCTTGATTGTACATCCAGTTGTAATTTGTTGAATGGTTTAAGAATATTTTCTGAAGTTAGCGATGCTTTGAGAAGCCCTTGCCTGGAATTGCATTTCCGGCATGTCTGCCATGCTTAGGAAATTATATCGAAGGTGCTTCTCTGATCTTGGGAATTCCCCTTAGTGTTTTGCCCCCTGACCAACCAGCAGACAGTCCTATCTAATCTGGTATCCTGTTCTCTACCCATTGGACTACTACTCTACCACAGACCTATTTTGAATAATTCACAAAGCACATATTTAATACCTTACTGGCATCCTATGTAAGGAGTACAGTATTAGAAATTACTGTATATTGAACAGATTAATGTGTGTAATCACACATTACTGCAATCTCAGAAATATGGATGGATGGATGGATGTTGAAACCTGGAAACAGTTACCTAAACAAATTAAAAGGGAATAGTAATTTGTTGGACAAAATTTGTCAAACTGAATAAAATTAGAATCATTTTAGCAAAATCATTTGGATTAAGGTAAATAAAGCTACTGAAACCCTCATAATAGGAATTTTATATAGGCCACCTAACTGGGATTAAAGTGTAAGATAGGTATATCTTGGTGGAATTCTTTTAGAGCAACTAGGTTTGATGTTTATGCTGTATGGGGTTTAAATTTGAGATAAACTGGACAAATCAGATAGGAAATGCTTATCCAGGTGAGATTTTATGAAGTTTAAACCTTGTTTCTTGATTTGGTCCAAATAGGAAAAATAATGTATTATACAGTAGTTTTGCAAACAGATGGTAATAAATATTAAAATTAGAGAGCACGCTCTAGAAAATTGTCATTAAGAAATACTGTATGGTTTAACAGGGTAAGTGCACGTAAGTCATACTCTGACTCAGAGTAAATACTCATACTCTGCCAAAGTAAAACAGAAACGAGTAACACTTAGTGGGCCAGCCAGAGGCTTTGTGGCCCGTGCAGGAATATCCCTGCAAAGATAAGAAAAACCCACATGGAGGAATTGTACACAGGAAAACTGTTATGGCCCTAAAGACTTTTTGCTGAGCTAGTTGCAACAAATTAAAATTGTTAGAAACAGGCTGTTTATGTAAAGGTTAAAGTATGAACAAAAAGACCCCGAAGAGGCCTGACAGCCGAGTGGACAGCTCTTTGCATTCGTAGTCCTGATGTTCCAGGTTCGATCCCTGGTGGAGGTGGAAACAAATGGGCAGTTTCTCTTTCACCCTGATGCCCCCTGTTACCTAGCAGTAAATAGTTACCTGGGAGTTAGACAGCTGCTATGGGCTGCTTCCTAGGGGGTGTAATTACCTAAGTGTAGGTACAGGATGAGAGCTACGCTCGTGGTGTCCCGTTTACCCAGCACTCTCATATGACGCTTTGAAGCTACTGACGGTTTTGGCCTCCCACCTTCTCACTTAACTTGTTTCAACCGTCGACCACTCAGTTTACAAAAAAAAAAGGCCATACTTGGATCATGGGTGGAACTCTGGACTGCGAGGCCATGGAGGACGCTCTAAAAAAACATTTATTACTTGAACAGTCAAAAAAGCTGACTGTGGGCTGTGGTTGGAACTCCAGTCTGTGAGGCTGCTGAGGACGCTCCCACAGCCAGGCTACGATGGCTTCTTGATGCTCATGTAACAAATGCTCATATGTAACAAAAAGGAGGCCTGGTAGAGGACCGGGCCACGGGGACGCTATGCCCTGAAATCATCTCAAGATAACCTCAAGACGAGAGATTTTAATAGATCTACTGTACTTAGATATATTTTTAATTATATAGAGCTGCTGTTCTGCTCTCATTTCCAGTATGTCACATAATAACCTTTTTCACAAGCTTAATGCCTGATTAAAGAAGAAATATTTTGCTTTGTTTATAAAGTTTTCTTAAATGTAAAACTTTCATATTTTGCTTTTGCAATGTTTGAAATATTTTTCAATGCAAAGTTTGTCACTGCCTTTGATATAATGATTGTGATCATACTACAGCTGTTGATTAATAAGCACACACAAGATGGTGAGAATCCAGGAAATTTAACACAATGAAGACAGGATTGCCACTCTTCAACCTATAGTGCAGTTCATGTACCCTATGTATGGTAGAAGGGAGAGGGAGGTATGATTGCCTTTAAACTAAATCACTATTCTACAGTTTAGTCCTATTTTATTCATGTACAAATTCATACAAATGCGCATCTGATTTATTATAAATCATAATGTGCAGACAATGAGACAATGTGGCTCAAGATATGATCAATTTACACATCAGAAATTGAAGAAATGGCAATGTTTCAGTCCGCCCTGGACTATTATCAAGCCGTGTGAAAAATGTAAGAGGAAAGAAAAGGACTGGCAAATAAAATGTATGAGAGTGAGGTGAGGAGCAGGTAAAGAGAGAGAGAATCTTTCACATGGTTTGATAATGGTCCAGGCTGTACCGAAATGTTGTCATTTCTTCACTTTGATGGGCGGTTTGGTCATCATTAAATCATAATGTGTTTTTCACAGTTTAAGAGAGTTTCAAACTTGGAACATGTAGGTTGAAGTATATCTTAAAGTAAATATGAAGTATATCATATATCTGCTTTAACCATTAAAGTCAGTGGGGAAGTGATTTTTGTTTTCCAAAATATTTAATTACTGAACTCTCTTTGATGAATGCTTCTCAATAATTATATTTTGTCTATGCCTCTCGAAACCCTCCCCAGGTATGTGTATTCATTTTAATCTGAGTTTTGATCATGGAGCTACGTTTTTGAAAAAAAAAATGGTTTAAGGGTAATGTTTTCTTGCATACTGTACTGTTTTTATTAGCTGGAGTATGGGCTTTGTTATTTGTTAATATTTTAATTTTAACCTTTAGGATAATCAGGTAGGAAAAATGCAAGATATTAAGAGCAACATTTTACTGTAAATGTGCTCAATCAATGGACAACAGATCATATCCGCAAGCGAGGACAGGTGCCAAATACTGTAAACAGTCCAGTGCAATCGTACTATATTGTAAATCTTTTAAATTTGATTTAAACCTGATATACTATGTCCATTTTCACCTCAAATGGAAAAAGGCAAAGCCTGCATTTTAAGTGCATTTTTTTTTGTGCGTGAAATTGAAATGAACCCTAAAGTGTTTTTTAAAATGCCCAATAGCTTTTCCAAAGCACCAACTGTTTCTCAATGTTTTCATCTACAAAAATCTTTAAAAATGCAGTCATCCATATTAATACCCAAAATGCAGCTGTTAAAAAAAAATCGCCTTGTCTGTTTGAGGGGGGGGGGTGGGGAAAATAAGGAAAATATGAAACATTACACGATTATCTAGGTCAGGTGATCGTATGGTGTGAGGAAGGCAGGTGGTAGGGTCATCAATGGATGTCACGGTGAGATCGCCAACTTCAATTTGGGATGGATTTTTGTTCCTTGCTTCACTTGTTAGCGTACACAAGGCAATGTTTGTCTAATAAAATTTATATGCATATAGGCCCTCAGTTTTGTTGAAGACAGAAAGCCTGTGTGTGTAATTATACAAGTGTAATTACAGGATGAGAACTACACTCGTGGTGCCCCATCTTCCCAGTACTGTCATTTAACACTGAAGCTGCTGACAGTTCTGGCCTTCACCCCTTCTCAATCTCTCGTTTAACTTGTTCCAACTGTCTACCACTGTTTTCAAGTTGTAATTTTTACAATTTTACAATTTTTTAAATTGTTGTAATTTTTACTGTGTAAATTTGGGACCTGGCCCTCCAGTATTATCCATGTACACTATATTATTTGATACCCCTTTCGTCTCCTTTCTAAAGAGTGTTATGTTTAGAGCTTTGAGACGATTCCTCACCTCGCTGGTAATGGACTGGAAAATCTCGTAATCATCATACCATATCCTGGATCATTCTAGAGGAGAGTTCAGCAAATTAAATTTTAATAATAAACAGATTAAATGGGAACTAATAAGCAAAGACCACACAAATAAGCTAGGAAGAGCAGCTAAATGATGCAAACTTAAATCAATGCTTCAAAAAAGGCTTAAAATAGTTTGTATGTAGCTCTGGAAATATACTAAAGACATACCAATAAGAAAAGTATTCAAATTTAAATGAGAATAAAGTGGAATAACTAGAATGTCCATCCCTATACCAAGAACAAAAAGGAAGGGCATGTTGACCAAACCACACTAGAAAGTGAAGGGACGACGACGTTTCGGTCCATCCTGGACCATTCTCAAGTCGATTGTGGGGAAAATATGGAAAAG